GCGACGTATAGTGAAAATGAACCGCGGTAAAAGCCCTTCGCTGCACTAGTGAACCCATCTTTTTGTTACAATGCATGGTTCATGCGTCAGTGGAGAAGGAAAAACTTTGTATTATACCATTCACTGTTTTTGGTTTCGTGAAGTATAAGAGAGTAGCTAGACTATGTTAGTCCTTATATATGGTTTAGGTGTTGTTCAAGGGAAAGCTTTAGAGTTTTTTTTCTTCTTTTTCCATACATTGCCTTTGACGTGGTTTGGGGAGAGTGGGTTCCAGGGAGTGGTTGCTTTGAGCAAATAATGCCTCGAGAAAGAGGGAGACAAAGATTAGGGTGGAGAGAGTAGAGAGAAATTGGAAGTGAAAGTTGGGTAAAAGCTTTCGCGAGGAGAGAATTGGAGAAAATGAAAAAGAAAAATCCAAAATTTTGATTTAAGTGTATGCCTATATTAACGTGCAAAAGCTTTCGGTAATTATGTTGTCTATTACCAACGGACACAGACCTATGTAATCACCATCTCACATGATCGTAGTAAAGCCTTTAGTATATTAACTTTACCGGAGTCCAAAGGTCTTCGCTGATAATCCTTTAGTAATTAGCGCATTTCCTATAGTAAAGAGTTGGGTTGTTTTTCCTCGCATGCGTATAACACATGAAGAAGAGCTTTCTTTTGCATGGCTTAGGAAAATACAACTATATACATTAAACTCACCGTTTTACATCTCTAGACATTAGTGTTATTTTAGGAAAATGTTTTAAATTAGAGAGGGAGTTGGGCCGGATTTGAATGTATAATAGTCTAGGGCTTTAGGGAGTATTTAGTTTATACGTTTAGGTTAAGACTAGAAAACAAAACACACTAAGCAGCCGAGTGAGTTGGAGAGAAAACCCTAGCTCTATCTTTTTCAAACTGTGAGAGAGGGTTTGAGGGGTTGAGGGAGAGAAAGCCTCGCTCCTTGGATCTGGTGGCAGTCCAATGAGCGTGTGGTGATTCCTAGAGGGAGTGAGCATCCTAGGAATGATTTTGGGCATTCAAAGAACCGTAAAGAACCGTAAAGAACTCTCTAAACACCCAGGTAAGGGGAGTAGCTACGGTGTATGATTTGTAATGGGCTTGGGTGGTGCTTTTGATATTACTTTCGCTGTTACAGTTAGATGGTTGTTTGTGAATGAGTGCGTTATGTAAATATGTTGAACGATTTCTAATGTTTGAAAACCCTTCTTGTATGGCGGGTGTATTATGGTTAGGGCTGTTTACTCTCTAAACTAAACTGGGTTAGGGTTTAAAAGTCTCAGGTTGAGGGAATGGAGAACCCTGTAACGTATTGGGTGGTATTGGGTATTGGGGGATAAGAGTAAGAAAGCTATGGTTACGGGTTGGAAATCATGGGTGTTGTGTAGAAATACATGAGGAGATAAAGGAGTGGAGTAAAGGAAGGGAAGTAGACTCACTGTAAAGGTTTTGAGAGGGAGTGTGTGAATGGAATGAAGGGTGTAAGCGGGCGGTGTGTGAATGTGTGTGTGAAGTTAAAGTAAGAGAGTTTCGGGTTATTGTGCGTAGGAGGAGGAATAAGAAAGAAGTAGTGGTGCGTGTTGGTAAAATGGATAAATTAGGGAGTGTAAAATGACGAGAAAGAGAGGAGACTTTGCATGGAGCCTTGGTTACGTGAATAGGGAGTGACGTGAGAGAGAGATTGTGAGTGAATGTGCAAGAGGAAGAAGCTATAGAAAGTGTTATGATAGGTTAGGGTTTTATGAGTAAGGAGGGAAGTTGGGTTCATTAGTGCAATGAAGGGAAACGACATCGGTTGTTTTTGACAATACGTTTCGGTTGTGGAACCGAGACATATACGGACGAGATAAAAAGATAGGAGACTTTTGGTCTCGGTTCCAACCGAGGTAATATCTCAAAGGATACTGCCTCGGTTCTTCAACAATCGAAGTAGTAAGGAAGAAAAAAAAGGGGGAGGGTGGAGCTATGGCACCGGTTCTAGGTTGAACCGCTGCCAAAGCCCCTTTGTCTTTTAAAAAAAATCAGTATTGGAGAAAGAACTGATCTTGAAAGAAAGGGAAACTCTTGATGTGTTGAAAGAATTGGAAAGTATCAAAAAGCTTGTTGAAGAATTGAAATCAAAGATACAGAAGGAACAGTTTGAAGTGAACTTGAATCTTCAGCTTGGCGAATGTGATAGAAAATCAGTTGTTGAAGAGAATGAAGAAAAGGAAAACCAGATGAGTCAATTGAATGTTCTTCAACATTTCAGACAAGGTTTTTCTTCCCATCTTCCATCTGTGTCGGGTTTAATATTACAGGAATTGAAGCATGCCAAGTTGAATTTAACCAGAACTACTGTTGATCTCGCTGATGTCCAAACTTCTGTCGAATCTCTAAATAAGAAGTTAGAGAAGGAAAGAATCTCACTTGAGAAAACGCGTGAGAGGTTAGCTCAAAATACTTCAAAAATATCTTCTCCTAAGGAAGAGCTAAACCATACCAGATTAAGGCTGCTAATAGCAAAAGGGGTTGAAATTAAAGATGCTTCAGATGATCCTTCGGTTATTACTAGAGAGCTCCAGCGATTGAGTTTTGAGGCCGAGAATTTCAAAATAATGGGAGAATCTGCAAAAGTAGAAGTTCTGAGAACAATGTCTGAGATTGAACAGACAAAAACCATGATAAGAACGGCTAAAATCAGATTGGTTGCTGCCAGGAAAATGAAAGAAGTTGCAGAAGCTTTTGCCCTTGTAGAAATTAACGCATTATCTAATAATGAAAATGAGAGTTTACCTGAAAATCATATTATTCTTTCATTTAAAGAGTATATCGTTCTGACATGCAAAGCCCATGATGCAGAGGAACAATCTAGGAAGAGAGTTACAAATGCAATGCTTGAAGTTGATGAAACAAATTTGTCAAACGTGAACATTTTGAAAAGGGTAGAAGAAGCTAAAGAGGAAGTTAAAACCAGCAAGAAGGCCCTTTTGCAATGACTTAAGCAACATAACAAGCAAACTTGTTGACCTAACACAGAAATGCAGATTCAAGAACAAACAAAAAAATTGAATATCATTCAGACCTTTAACAAACAGTTCATAAGCAAAAACTGAACTATTGAAACCAGCCAAGCAATGCTCCACCAGTGGCGCACCAACATGTTCAAAAATATCCAGCTGAAAAATCAGATCCGAAAGTGCATCAAACACCGAGGAATATTCAGTTGAAAAGAAAGAGATTACTAAAGTGTAATTAGAGGAAATTTCTGGACTTCTATGTAATTTTGAATAAAATAAAAAGGGTTGAAATGTAATTTTGGGCCAGTTTAAATATGCTAGATATTTTAAAAGATAATTTAGAGAAAATATATCTTAAGATATTTTATTTGATATTGTTAAATAATTACCTTATTTAACTATATCAATAAGAATCAAAAGATCATATTTGTCAAATCTTTTCGAATCTAGAAAAGATATTATCAAATATTCTCAAAAACTAACTAAATTTGTTGAATATTTGAAAGATATTAGATATAAGATAGAAGATCTTATCAACAGAAAATTCAGAGTCCAAGCCTAATCAAGCCTATATAAAGAGACCTAAGGGAGAAAGAAATTATAACTCATTCATTCTCATACTCCTCTACTGGAAGCATTCATCCACCACTCCTCTCACTTTTATTTTGCCATGTATTCTACTCCATCCATGGAGGGCTAAGCTTCTAGGGCTATTCCATTGTAATTTCATTATGGATTTTGAGGTTAAGTTGAATTAATGCAATTGTTTGTTTTGATTATTGATTTGAGTTGCTCTCTTTCTATGTCTTTCATCTCTCAATCATATTAAAAGCAATGATTTTTGCATCATAAGGTGTTTGAATCTACATGCATATTAATCATATGAGTCCAAGGGTTTCCATGTTTGATTGAGAATCTACTTTGATTAAATTTAGAAACTTTCATATGATTAAACGGGTTTTTGCTATCAATTGATAATGTACTTTGATTAGTGGCAATAATTTCAACTATAATTAATTGACAATTTACTTTGATTAATTAACTTTTAATTTGGTTAGGAGATTTAAGAATAGACATGATTAAACACAATAGAATTTGATTGAGAATGTACTTTGTTTGAATTCATTGTGAATAATAGAAAGATCTTGCATTTCATTGAGAATCTACTTTGGTTAACTACATTATCGCCCTCAAATTAATTAAGAATTTACTTTAATTAATTTGAAACTTGAACAATAATCAATTGAACAATTATTTGTGGATAACCGATGATGAATCTATCTTGGAAAAGGAGTGGAATTAGCCTATTTCATCATAATTGTTTCTAAATTTCCTTTTTCTTCTTCAAACATTAATTCCATTAGCACAGTTTCTCACTTTCATTCTTGATCATTGCATAGCATTCATAAGATCCAAATATTGAAAAGCAATTTCGTATTCGTTGGGAGACGACTCAAGGTTACTTTAACTCTATCTACTTTCTTGACTACTAACTTAGCAATACTGAAGTTACCTTGAAAAGTAGTATTAATTTGATAGTTTCAACAATAGCATATCAAATTTGGCGCCGTTGCTGGGGAATACGGTTAGTATTTTGAATATTTTGATTCTTATTTTGATTCTTTTTTTTATCTTTATTTGTTTTTTTATTTAACGCAAATACATTTAAGTTAGTTTGAGTTATTTTATAGCCTTTAGTTATTCTTATTGTTAGATAAATCTTTGTGCTTGTTTTAATTAAGAATTTCTCTTAGAAATACTTGAGGTCAGTTTGAATATACTCTGTCTAGGAAAGACTTGGTACTTAAGTTGTCCATTGAGATACACCTCTCTTTCTTGGGAGTGAACCCAAACAAAGTCTCTCTTATCTTTTATTTGAAATCTTTCTCTAAAGCAAGAATAAAAGAAAAAAAAAAGAGAAGTCAAGAACAGAAAAACAACTTCAAGCAGACTACGCAGTGCATGACTTGAGCTAACTCGGGAGAATTTTATCAAATTAACCCGGAAGTTGAAAGAAATTTGTGTAAGTTGCGAAAAAGTTTGAAATTTGGGTGTTCTACTAAGGGAACACTTCCTACATCTGAAGTCATTCCACCTTCATTATCTCCAGTCACAAATATACCATATAATCCTTTACCTGGTCCTAACCCAAACAAAATGGCACAAAGAACAATCAGACAACTAGCCACCTCCAACAATACAGTTATCCACAATAACATTGAATATCCTAATGAGGAGTGGGAGTCGAGACCTGACTTATTAAATGCGCAACCAAAATTCAGTGGGTTATCAAGGGAGAATCCACACAAACACCTTAGACAGTTCCACATGTTGTGTGAAAATTTTAGATCTCCCAAGATCATGATAGAAAATCTGAAGATGAGAGCTTTTCCCTTTAGTCTTCAAGGAGCAGCCCAGGATTGGTGGTATTATCTCTCTACACGGATTACTAATTGGGAGAATAGAAAGACCTTTTCTTGAAAAATATTTCCCAGCATCTCGAGTATCTGCCATCCGTAGAGAGATACAAGATATAAGGTAAAGAGATAGAGAAACGCTTAGCGAATATTGGGAGAGATTCAACAAATTTTGTGCTTTATGCCCTCAATTTCAAATAGAATATTTCATTTTAAGCTTTTATGAAGGCTTAAGTACAACTGATAGGTCATGGGCAGATGCTGCAAGTGGAGGATCCTTCTTAGACAGATCACCGAAAGACGTTATAGATCTAATAGAGCGAAAGACAGTAGATAGCCAGCAGTTTGAAATAAGAGCACATTTAGTGACCCTGTTAAAAGGAGTTTATGAGATGGAAACTAGTTCAGTAAAGATGATAAATGAAAGAACAGACGGACTAGAGAAAAAGCTCAACAAAATTGTGAGCTTGATTAAAACTTCAAATCCACAAGTTTCTAAGGTGTATGGAATTTTCTCTTCAACAAGACATTATACTGAGAAATGTCCTAGTCTAACAGAAACTACTATGGAGGAACCATCTCAAGCTTTTGTTGCAAACATGTTTGGAGGCAATAAACCATATTAGCAACACAAACAACCTTATGTTCCACCTCAGCAAAGGCAACAATTCCAACATGAAATGTCACTGCAAGATTCCATGAAGATATAGTTGAGCAAAATTCAGAAATTAAGAAATCAATTGTAGAATTGACTTAGAGGATGGATAAGTTAGAGGCTAAGGAGTCAAATAAATTGTCTGCACAAAAAATGATCAACCTGCGAAATGTAAATGCCATTACTTTAAGAACGAGGAAGCAAGTACAAGGCTCTGAGGGAGCCCAAGAGGATGAAGATAAGGAGAAAGAAGAAACCCAAATTGACGACAATGGAGTACCAAGTGAACCATCACCTAAGACTATCGCTAATAAATCCAGGTTAGTATCCTCTAACTCTTCTTCTAAATATTCTTCTTCATCTTATTCTCCACCTCCACTATATCCAAATCGGTTGAAGCCGAGAAACAAAAAAATGGAGGAATTAGACCAAGAGATCTTAAATACTTTCAAAAAGGTGGAGATCAACATTCCCTTTCTAGATTGTTAAGCAAATCTCTAAATATGCCAAGTTTTTGAAAGAACTTTGCACAAATAAAAGGCGTATTAGGGATAATGAGGTTGTGAATTTGGGACAAAACGTGTCTAGTTTAGTTAAGAAACATATTGAGATACCATACAAATGCAGGGATCCATGTATGTTTTTTGTTCCTTGTGTTATTGGAAGTTCAAGGTTTGACAATGCCATGTTAGATTTAGGAGCTTCTATAAATGTAATGCCTTTATCAGTGTTTATTTCTCTATCTCTAGGACCTCTTAACTTTCAGACAAGGTTTTTCTTCCCATCTTCCATCTGTGTCGGGTTTAATATTACAGGAATTGAAGCATGCCAAGTTGAATTTAACCAGAACTACTGTTGATCTCGCTGATGTCCAAACTTCTGTCGAATCTCTAAATAAGAAGTTAGAGAAGGAAAGAATCTCACTTGAGAAAACGCGTGAGAGGTTAGCTCAAAATACTTCAAAATATCTTCTCCTAAGAGAGCTAAACCATACCAGATTAAGGCTGCTAATACACAAAGGGTTGAAATTAAAGATGCTTCAGATGATCCTCGGTTATTACTAGAGAGCTCCACGATTGAGTTTTGAGGCCGGAATTCACAAAATAATGGGAGAATCTGCAAAAGCAGAAGTTCTTGAGAACAATGTCTGAGATTGACAGACAAAAACCATGATAAGAACGGCTAAAATCAGATTGGTTGCTGCCAGGAAAATGAAAGAAGTTGCAGAAGCTTTTGCCCTTGTAGAAATTAACGCATTATCTAATAATGAAAATGAGAGTTTACCTGAAAATCATATATTCTTTCATTTAAAGAGTATATCGTTCTGACATGCAAAGCCCATGAGGCAGAGGAACAATCTAGAAGAGAGTTACAAATGCAATGCTTGAAGTTGATGAAACAAATTTGTCAAACGTGAACATTTGAAAAGGGTAGAAGAAGCTAAAGAGGAAGTTTAAAACCAGCAAGAAGGCCCTTTTGGCAATGACTTAAGCAACATAACAAGCAAACTTGTGACCTAACACAGAATGGCAGATTCAAGAACAAAAAAAAAATTGAATATCATTCAGACCTTAACAAACAGTTCATAAGCAAAAACTGAACTATTGAAACCAGCCAAGCAATGCTCCACCAGTGGCGCACCAACATGTTCAAAAATATCCAGCTGAAAAATCAGATCCGAAAGTGCATCAAACACCGAGGAATATTCAGTTGAAAAGAAAGAGATTACTAAAGTGTAATTAGAGGAAATTTCTGGACTTCTATGTAATTTTGAATAAAATAAAAAGGGTTGAAATGTAATTTTGGGCCAGTTTAAATATGCTAGATATTTTAAAAGATAATTTAGAGAAAATATATCTTAAGATATTTTATTTGATATTGTTAAATAATTACCTTATTTAACTATATCAATAAGAATCAAAAGATCATATTTGTCAAATCTTTTCGAATCTAGAAAAGATATTATCAAATATTCTCAAAAACTAACTAAATTTGTTGAATATTTGAAAGATATTAGATATAAGATAGAAGATCTTATCAACAGAAAATTCAGAGTCCAAGCCTAATCAAGCCTATATAAAGAGACCTAAGGGAGAAAGAAATTATAACTCATTCATTCTCATACTCCTCTACTGGAAGCATTCATCCACCACTCCTCTCACTTTTATTTTGCCATGTATTCTACTCCATCCATGGAGGGCTAAGCTTCTAGGGCTATTCCATTGTATTTCATTATGGATTTTGAGGTTAAGTTGAATTAATGCAATTGTTTCTTTTATTATTTGATTTGAGTTGCTCTCTTTCTATGTCTTTCACTCTACACATATTAAAAGTAATGATTTTTGCATCATAAGGTGTTTGAATCTACATGCATATTAATCATATGAGTCCAGGGTTTCCATGTTTGATTGAGAATCTACTTTGATTAAATTTAGAAACTTTCATATGATTAAACGGGTTTTTGCTATCAATTGATAATGTACTTTGATTAGTGGCAATAATTTCAACTATAATTAATTGACAATTTACTTTGATTAATTAACTTTTAATTTGGTTAGGAGATTTAAGAATGCAATGAATTAAACACAATAGATTTGAATTGAGAATGTACTTTGTTTGAATTCATTGTGAATAATAGAAAGATCTTGCATTTCATTTGAGATCTACTTTGGTTAACTACATTATCGCCCTCAAATTAATTAAGAATTTACTTTAATTAATTTGAAACTTGAACAATAATCAATTGAACAATTATTTGTGGATAACCGATGATGAATCTATCTTGGAAAAGGAGTGGAATTAGCCTATTTCATCATAATTGTTTCTAAATTTTTTTTTTCACAAACGAGACATATGGCCGCGGTTATGACACTAACCGCGGCATATTCGTCGGCCTATATGCCGCGGTTGAACCGCGGCATATAGTGCATTTTTTAATTTTTTTTTAAAATTTTTTTAGGGTTTAGGCAGCGGTTCCCTAGACAACCGCGGCATATTCCGCAGCCTATATACCGCGGTTCGAACCGCGGTATAAAGTGTCTGACTTACTACCGCGGCTGAATATGCCGCGGTTCAAGAACCGCGACGTATAGTGAAAATGAACCGCGGTAAAAGCCCTTCGCTGCACTAGTGAACCCATCTTTTTGTTACAATGCATGGTTCATGCGTCAGTGGAGAAGGAAAAACTTTGTATTATACCATTCACTGTTTTTGGTTTCGTGAAGTATAAGAGAGTAGCTAGACTATGTTAGTCCTTATATATGGTTTAGGTGTTGTTCAAGGGAAAGCTTTAGAGTTTTTTTTCTTCTTTTTCCATACATTGCCTTTGACGTGGTTTGGGGAGAGTGGGTTCCAGGGAGTGGTTGCTTTGAGCAAATAATGCCTCGAGAAAGAGGGAGACAAAGATTAGGGTGGAGAGAGTAGAGAGAAATTGGAAGTGAAAGTTGGGTAAAAGCTTTCGCGAGGAGAGAATTGGAGAAAATGAAAAAGAAAAATCCAAAATTTTGATTTAAGTGTATGCCTATATTAACGTGCAAAAGCTTTCGGTAATTATGTTGTCTATTACCAACGGACACAGACCTATGTAATCACCATCTCACATGATCGTAGTAAAGCCTTTAGTATATTAACTTTACCGGAGTCCAAAGGTCTTCGCTGATAATCCTTTAGTAATTAGCGCATTTCCTATAGTAAAGAGTTGGGTTGTTTTTCCTCGCATGCGTATAACACATGAAGAAGAGCTTTCTTTTGCATGGCTTAGGAAAATACAACTATATACATTAAACTCACCGTTTTACATCTCTAGACATTAGTGTTATTTTAGGAAAATGTTTTAAATTAGAGAGGGAGTTGGGCCGGATTTGAATGTATAATAGTCTAGGGCTTTAGGGAGTATTTAGTTTATACGTTTAGGTTAAGACTAGAAAACAAAACACACTAAGCAGCCGAGTGAGTTGGAGAGAAAACCCTAGCTCTATCTTTTTCAAACTGTGAGAGAGGGTTTGAGGGGTTGAGGGAGAGAAAGCCTCGCTCCTTGGATCTGGTGGCAGTCCAATGAGCGTGTGGTGATTCCTAGAGGGAGTGAGCATCCTAGGAATGATTTTGGGCATTCAAAGAACCGTAAAGAACCGTAAAGAACTCTCTAAACACCCAGGTAAGGGGAGTAGCTACGGTGTATGATTTGTAATGGGCTTGGGTGGTGCTTTTGATATTACTTTCGCTGTTACAGTTAGATGGTTGTTTGTGAATGAGTGCGTTATGTAAATATGTTGAACGATTTCTAATGTTTGAAAACCCTTCTTGTATGGCGGGTGTATTATGGTTAGGGCTGTTTACTCTCTAAACTAAACTGGGTTAGGGTTTAAAAGTCTCAGGTTGAGGGAATGGAGAACCCTGTAACGTATTGGGTGGTATTGGGTATTGGGGGATAAGAGTAAGAAAGCTATGGTTACGGGTTGGAAATCATGGGTGTTGTGTAGAAATACATGAGGAGATAAAGGAGTGGAGTAAAGGAAGGGAAGTAGACTCACTGTAAAGGTTTTGAGAGGGAGTGTGTGAATGGAATGAAGGGTGTAAGCGGGCGGTGTGTGAATGTGTGTGTGAAGTTAAAGTAAGAGAGTTTCGGGTTATTGTGCGTAGGAGGAGGAATAAGAAAGAAGTAGTGGTGCGTGTTGGTAAAATGGATAAATTAGGGAGTGTAAAATGACGAGAAAGAGAGGAGACTTTGCATGGAGCCTTGGTTACGTGAATAGGGAGTGACGTGAGAGAGAGATTGTGAGTGAATGTGCAAGAGGAAGAAGCTATAGAAAGTGTTATGATAGGTTAGGGTTTTATGAGTAAGGAGGGAAGTTGGGTTCATTAGTGCAATGAAGGGAAACGACATCGGTTGTTTTTGACAATACGTTTCGGTTGTGGAACCGAGACATATACGGACGAGATAAAAAGATAGGAGACTTTTGGTCTCGGTTCCAACCGAGGTAATATCTCAAAGGATACTGCCTCGGTTCTTCAACAATCGAAGTAGTAAGGAAGAAAAAAAAGGGGGAGGGTGGAGCTATGGCACCGGTTCTAGGTTGAACCGCTGCCAAAGCCCCTTTGTCTTTTAAAAAAAATCAGTATTGGAGAAAGAACTGATCTTGAAAGAAAGGGAAACTCTTGATGTGTTGAAAGAATTGGAAAGTATCAAAAAGCTTGTTGAAGAATTGAAATCAAAGATACAGAAGGAACAGTTTGAAGTGAACTTGAATCTTCAGCTTGGCGAATGTGATAGAAAATCAGTTGTTGAAGAGAATGAAGAAAAGGAAAACCAGATGAGTCAATTGAATGTTCTTCAACATTTCAGACAAGGTTTTTCTTCCCATCTTCCATCTGTGTCGGGTTTAATATTACAGGAATTGAAGCATGCCAAGTTGAATTTAACCAGAACTACTGTTGATCTCGCTGATGTCCAAACTTCTGTCGAATCTCTAAATAAGAAGTTAGAGAAGGAAAGAATCTCACTTGAGAAAACGCGTGAGAGGTTAGCTCAAAATACTTCAAAAATATCTTCTCCTAAGGAAGAGCTAAACCATACCAGATTAAGGCTGCTAATAGCAAAAGGGGTTGAAATTAAAGATGCTTCAGATGATCCTTCGGTTATTACTAGAGAGCTCCAGCGATTGAGTTTTGAGGCCGAGAATTTCAAAATAATGGGAGAATCTGCAAAAGTAGAAGTTCTGAGAACAATGTCTGAGATTGAACAGACAAAAACCATGATAAGAACGGCTAAAATCAGATTGGTTGCTGCCAGGAAAATGAAAGAAGTTGCAGAAGCTTTTGCCCTTGTAGAAATTAACGCATTATCTAATAATGAAAATGAGAGTTTACCTGAAAATCATATTATTCTTTCATTTAAAGAGTATATCGTTCTGACATGCAAAGCCCATGATGCAGAGGAACAATCTAGGAAGAGAGTTACAAATGCAATGCTTGAAGTTGATGAAACAAATTTGTCAAACGTGAACATTTTGAAAAGGGTAGAAGAAGCTAAAGAGGAAGTTAAAACCAGCAAGAAGGCCCTTTTGCAATGACTTAAGCAACATAACAAGCAAACTTGTTGACCTAACACAGAAATGCAGATTCAAGAACAAACAAAAAAATTGAATATCATTCAGACCTTTAACAAACAGTTCATAAGCAAAAACTGAACTATTGAAACCAGCCAAGCAATGCTCCACCAGTGGCGCACCAACATGTTCAAAAATATCCAGCTGAAAAATCAGATCCGAAAGTGCATCAAACACCGAGGAATATTCAGTTGAAAAGAAAGAGATTACTAAAGTGTAATTAGAGGAAATTTCTGGACTTCTATGTAATTTTGAATAAAATAAAAAGGGTTGAAATGTAATTTTGGGCCAGTTTAAATATGCTAGATATTTTAAAAGATAATTTAGAGAAAATATATCTTAAGATATTTTATTTGATATTGTTAAATAATTACCTTATTTAACTATATCAATAAGAATCAAAAGATCATATTTGTCAAATCTTTTCGAATCTAGAAAAGATATTATCAAATATTCTCAAAAACTAACTAAATTTGTTGAATATTTGAAAGATATTAGATATAAGATAGAAGATCTTATCAACAGAAAATTCAGAGTCCAAGCCTAATCAAGCCTATATAAAGAGACCTAAGGGAGAAAGAAATTATAACTCATTCATTCTCATACTCCTCTACTGGAAGCATTCATCCACCACTCCTCTCACTTTTATTTTGCCATGTATTCTACTCCATCCATGGAGGGCTAAGCTTCTAGGGCTATTCCATTGTAATTTCATTATGGATTTTGAGGTTAAGTTGAATTAATGCAATTGTTTGTTTTGATTATTGATTTGAGTTTTTCTTTTTCTATGTCTTTCATCTCTCTATCATATTAAAAGTAATGATTTTTGTATCATAAGGTGTTTGAATCTACATGCATATTAATCATATGAGTCCAAGGGTTTCCATGTTTGATTGAGAATCTACTTTGATTAAATTTAGAAACTTTCATATGATTAAACGGGTTTTTGCTATCAATTGATAATGTACTTTGATTAGTGGCAATAATTTCAACTATAATTAATTGACAATTTACTTTGATTAATTAACTTTTAATTTGGTTAGGAGATTTAAGAATAGTCATGATTAAACACAATAGAATTTGATTGAGAATGTACTTTGTTTGAATTCATTGTGAATAATAGAAAGATCTTGCATTTCATTGAGAATCTACTTTGGTTAACTACATTATCGCCCTCAAATTAATTAAGAATTTACTTTAATTAATTTGAAACTTGAACAATAATCAATTGAACAATTATTTGTGGATAACCGATGATGAATCTATCTTGGAAAAGGAGTGGAATTAGCCTATTTCATCATAATTGTTTCTAAATTTCCTTTTTCTTCTTCAAACATTAATTCCATTAGCACAGTTTCTCACTTTCATTCTTGATCATTGCATAGCATTCATAAGATCCAAATATTGAAAAGCAATTTCGTATTCGTTGGGAGACGACTCAAGGTTACTTTAACTCTATCTACTTTCTTGACTACTAACTTAGCAATACTGAAGTTACCTTGAAAAGTAGTATTAATTTGATAGTTTCAACAATAGCATATCAAATTTGGCGCCGTTGCTGGGGAATACGGTTAGTATTTTGAATATTTTGATTCTTATTTTGATTCTTTTTTTTATCTTTATTTGTTTTTTTATTTAACGCAAATACATTTAAGTTAGTTTGAGTTATTTTATAGCCTTTAGTTATTCTTATTGTTAGATAAATCTTTGTGCTTGTTTTAATTAAGAATTTCTCTTAGAAATACTTGAGGTCAGTTTGAATATACTCTGTCTAGGAAAGACTTGGTACTTAAGTTGTCCATTGAGATACACCTCTCTTTCTTGGGAGTGAACCCAAACAAAGTCTCTCTTATCTTTTATTTGAAATCTTTCTCTAAAGCAAGAATAAAAGAAAAAAAAAAGAGAAGTTAAGAACAGAAAAACAACTTCAAGCAGACTACGCAGTGCATGACTTGAGCTAACTCGGGAGAATTTTATCAAATTAACCCGGAAGTTGAAAGAAATTTGTGTAAGTTGCGAAAAAGTTTGAAATTTGGGTGTTCTACTAAGGGAACACTTCCTACATCTGAAGTCATTCCACCTTCATTATCTCCATTCACAAATATACCATATAATCCTTTACCTGGTCCTAACCCAAACAAAATGGCACAAAGAACAATCAGACAACTAGCCACCTCCAACAATACAGTTATCCACAATAACATTGAATATCCTAATGAGGAGTGGGAGTCGAGACCTGACTTATTAAATGCGCAACCAAAATTCAGTGGGTTATCAAGGGAGAATCCACACAAACACCTTAGACAGTTCCACATGTTGTGTGAAAATTTTAGATCTCCCAAGATCATGATAGAAAATCTGAAGATGAGAGCTTTTCCCTTTAGTCTTCAAGGAGCAGCCCAGGATTGGTGGTATTATCTCTCTACACGGATTACTAATTGGGAGAATAGAAAGACCTTTTCTTGAAAAATATTTCCCAGCATCTCGAGTATCTGCCATCCGTAGAGAGATACAAGATATAAGGTAAAGAGATAGAGAAACGCTTAGCGAATATTGGGAGAGATTCAACAAATTTTGTGCTTTATGCCCTCAATTTCAAATAGAATATTTCATTTTAAGCTTTTATGAAGGCTTAAGTACAACTGATAGGTCATGGGCAGATGCTGCAAGTGGAGGATCCTTCTTAGACAGATCACCGAAAGACGTTATAGATCTAATAGAGCGAAAGACAGTAGATAGCCAGCAGTTTGAAATAAGAGCACATTTAGTGACCCTGTTAAAAGGAGTTTATGAGATGGAAACTAGTTCAGTAAAGATGATAAATGAAAGAACAGACGGACTAGAGAAAAAGCTCAACAAAATTGTGAGCTTGATTAAAACTTCAAATCCACAAGTTTCTAAGGTGTATGGAATTTTCTCTTCAACAAGACATTATACTGAGAAATGTCCTAGTCTAACAGAAACTACTATGGAGGAACCATCTCAAGCTTTTGTTGCAAACATGTTTGGAGGCAATAAACCATATTAGCAACACAAACAACCTTATGTTCCACCTCAGCAAAGGCAACAATTCCAACATGAAATGTCACTGCAAGATTCCATGAAGATATAGTTGAGCAAAATTCAGAAATTAAGAAATCAATTGTAGAATTGACTTAGAGGATGGATAAGTTAGAGGCTAAGGAGTCAAATAAATTGTCTGCACAAAAAATGATCAACCTGCGAAATGTAAATGCCATTACTTTAAGAACGAGGAAGCAAGTACAAGGCTCTGAGGGAGCCCAAGAGGATGAAGATAAGGAGAAAGAAGAAACCCAAATTGACGACAATGGAGTACCAAGTGAACCATCACCTAAGACTATCGCTAATAAATCTAGGTTAGTATCCTCTAACTCTTCTTCTAAATATTCTTCTTCATCTTATTCTCCACCTCCACTATATCCAAATCGGTTGAAGCCGAGAAACAAAAAAATGGAGGAATTAGACCAAGAGATCTTAAATACTTTCAAAAAGGTGGAGATCAACATTCCCTTTCTAGATTGTTAAGCAAATCTCTAAATATGCCAAGTTTTTGAAAGAACTTTGCACAAATAAAAGGCGTATTAGGGATAATGAGGTTGTGAATTTGGGACAAAACGTGTCTAGTTTAGTTAAGAAACATATTGAGATACCATACAAATGCAGGGATCCATGTATGTTTTTTGTTCCTTGTGTTATTGGAAGTTCAAGGTTTGACAATGCCATGTTAGATTTAGGAGCTTCTATAAATGTAATGCCTTTATCAGTGTTTATTTCTCTATCTCTAGGACCTCTTAAGACTACTGGTGTGGTCATTCAACTGGCCAACCGTAGCATAGTTAACCTTGCAGGTGTGCTTGAGGACATCCTTGTCCGAGTAGACAAGTTAATTTTTCCTGCAGATTTCTACATCTTGGATATGAAGGATGAGGAAGGACTCAAGTCATCAATTATTATCTTGGGAAGACCTTTCATGATGACAACACGAACCAAGATAGATGTGCATGCAGGAACATTGACCATGGAGATAGGAGACGAGAAGATGCATTTTAACGTATTGGAAGCCATGAAGCACCCAATGGAAGAGCATTCTCTGTTTTGTATTGATGTATTAAGTGATGTTGTAAACAATTTTTCTTTTAGTTTCTAGACGTTTTTTTAACTTTTTCTCCATCTTTGGATTTTTTTTTTCAAATATGTCGTACCTAACTATGGACGACGAAGAAAATTGCAAAGCATGTGATATTGAGGACACAATGTTAATAGATGATACCTCTGTGGCGTCCGAGTGTGATGTTGAGGTGACTGAGATTACCTTAGGCAGTAAAATGTTGCCATTTGTGGTACAACCACCCATTTTAGAGTTGAAACCTTTACCATCCCATTTAAAATATGCTTATCTTGAGAAGGATGGGAAACTCCCTATTATTATATTTTCACTACTTATTGATGAGTAGGAAAAACAACTGTTACAGTTTCTTAGAGATCACAAGAAAGCAATAGGCTAGACTTTGGCAGATATTCCTGGTATTAGCCCTTCTTTTTGTATGCACAAAATACTTTTGGAGGAGGATGTTAAACTAGTGAGACAACCTCAAAGAAGACTTAATCCTCAATTGGTGGAGGTTGTGAAGAAAGAGGTCACCAAGTTGCTACAAGCAGGTATTATATATCCCATTTCTGATAACACTTGGGTAAGCCCTATACATGTGGTTCCCAAGAAATTTGGAATCATAGTGGTAAAGAACGAGAAGGATGAGTTGATTCCTACTCGTATTCAGACTAGTTGGAGGGTTTGTATTGACTATAAGAGATTGAACCAAGTCACTCGAAAGGACCACTTTCCTTTGTCATTCATGAATCAGATGCTAGACCGTTTGGCAAGTAAGTCACATTATTGTTTTCTAGATAGATTCTCTGGGTATTTTCAAATCTGTATAGCCCTG